GTATTAATTATGAACTAATACACAGGTGATTCTTCAGAGAGCAAGGTATGTGCGGATAAAATAATTTTGTATGTAGGGGATAAGTATTATGCTGAATATACATGTTCATACAGTTAAATGATGTAACCTTGTGCTTCCTGTATCCATTAACGATGCAGAACCTTTCAAACCAGAGCTTTCAACTTGGGGATACTGACGGAACAATTTCAAAGAAAAAAATATTATTATATTATTATAATTTGCGTGGGATAATATTGAGGTTTCTGCTTCTCTAATGATTAACAAACTGACCTATAGAAAATAACTATCTATTTGGAGGTCAGTATTAAGTTGAGTTGAGAGGTTTCTTAACCATGTTGTGGTAAGTTTCTGTCTTCAGCCCTGCTGTTCATCTTGTCGACTGGCAGACTGGTAATGTTCAGGTCCTACTGAGGCAAGCCAAGGCCCTCTTCTCCTGTGCTGTAAGGTCTGACATCTGGTTGGAGTTATGCTGGAGCATATATCCTTTTGGAAATGTTTCACTGTGGTGGCAGGGGTGTTGTTTTTGCAGTTGGCAGTGATCAGTTCTTACAAAGGCTAATTTGAATGTTTTTGCCAGGATGTCAGTGTCCAGCATTCTCAAGTCACTTCCTCACTCACAATCACTCACTTCCTCATCCCCCATGGATATCTTACAATGGTCCCAATTTTCCCTTTCCAGTTTCTCCATCTCTGGAATGCCCTTGGCTCAGGAAAGCACCATGTACCATGAGTCCTTGCTGCATCGGCCATGGGTTCAAGTACAACCTTGTGGCTTTTTGCTGCACGTCATTCCCTCTCTCTCTCTCTCTCTCTCTCTCTCTCTCCCCCTTTCCTGTCTATCTTAAGCTGTCCTGTCAAATAAACGCAAAAATACCCCCAAACATACTTCATCTACCTACTTTTGGTACACAATTGTAGACATTTAACAAAAATTTAAAAGGTGAAATTCTAAATTTTGTATATTTTATAGTTACTACACTAATTGCTGGTGTTGCTGTTGAAGGACATTGATTGTCACACGTTCTTGCCTGATCCCATCTATGCAGTTGTTTTTCTTGCCCTCCATCATGTCTTACAAGCTTTCTGGCTATATTTTTTTGGAAGAGATTTTTTTTTTTTGCCAGCAAATGTGTCAGCAAGGTTAATTGGCATTAGGGAGGACGGTCAAAGGCTTTAATCTTTTAAAAGACTAATAATATGACAATATTTAAGTCATTAATTCAACCTCACTCATCTTCTCCTCTGTGACCAGGTTTCTGTGTCCCAAGCACTTTCACTCTCATTAGCTTAACAACATAGTATCAATGACCTGAAAAATGGAAATGCTTGGGACTCCACACCAATCAGTAGAGTAAATGAACCCTTGTGGATGACTTTTGAGACACATTTTCTTCAATAACAACAGTGGGAAGTATAAATATGACATGATATAATGAAAACATATATACACATTAAATCAAATGTTGGCACCCAGTGATGAAGCCAGTTACAGTATGTAAGATAAATTGCATGCAGCTGTCTGGGTGAAAATGCAAACAAAGGAAGGGGGCGTCTCTCTGTCATCTGTTGCAGGGCCGAAGCTCAGCCTAGAAACTATCAGGAAGATGATGTGTCTCTAGAGACAACAATTCCTCGGGAGAGAGGCAGCTCTTAATCATCAGGGACCCACTTCTCTGGCATTTCTCTCATTGTTGCATGCTCACCTTGCATTGAAAAGGTGTGTGGGGGGTCACCTGTCTTATGCACAGCTGAATAGCTCTATCTCACAAACACTTAAGGCCAATTTAAGTGACAAATGTTGCTGTGTGACAGTTCACATGACAACATTTGTTGCCCAGTTCTACAGTGAATACAACATGCCTCAGGGAAGGACTTAGCAGGGAATATGCACTGTCTTACACTAAACAGAAGAAGGGCAGTAAAGCTTTTTTTTTCGTTACTCTGGTAGATACAGGAGGGAGCAAATGGATAATAGGTCAATTACTTCTAATATGTTTACATTTCTACATTCATTTTTACAATGCCACACAAGTCAGACATTGGTCCTGGCCTTGGCTATTGAATGGTAGGCTACCAGGGCCACCACAATTTAATCATTATAGACTGCTTAAAAGTGTGAGAAATGTTTAAATTAATACTAAAAGAAGTTTTTTTTAACATCCGTAAATGAGAATGAATGAATGAATGAGATGTCTAACATCTTCTTACAAGGAATTAATTCAATTAAATTTGGCTTGCATTGCAGATGAACAATACTGACAAAGCATCTTAATATAGCCAAATGAATACAACAATAAATAACAACGAAATAGCAGCAGACATCTGTTCCACTGAGAGTTCTTTCCTGCACCATTTTTGACACATCTTTGTGGAAGTGCATGCTGTAATGTCTCTGGAAATAATTCTATTAAATCCTTTTTGTAACTTTATGCGCTATTTGCAATGGTGATTTAGCCTTGAGAAACGTTTTCTTTTCAAATTGTACAAAAGAGGATATATTTCTAAATGCAGCTCTAGTCGATTCCTGACTAACCAATTACTTGGTGACATACATTCTTTAAAGTCAACTTTTTTTTTTTCAATATGAGAAACATGCTTGGGTGGGAAATGAAAGAGGAAATCTATTTCCAGTCATCTGCCCTGACTGGGTAACACGGGGGGGGACTGCAACACATTATGGCCTGCAACATACAGTTCATGTATGTATAATTACACGCTGTAATTTGTTGTACAAATGACTATAAATTGGGAGGAATTACTCTGTACATTGCAGGATGTAATCTGAAGTATTCACTTGATCAGTATGGTAGCAGCAGCCAGCCACTTGGGCCATTTCAGCCTAGCTGACAGCATGTGGAGGCTTTGTGAACACTTTCTGAATCGACTGACTGATAATTGAGAGTGAAAAGCAGTAGATTGTTAAGGATCAGGGATGAGGCAGCCACGATGGGAGAAACGGTAAAAGAAATGATCAAAGAGAGGTCACACAAGATGATCTTGGTCTAAGAGAATACTACAGTCAGTCAGTCAGAATATATTATAGCTTGAAATTAAAGATGTTAGCCAGCACTCTTGACCATTTGCTAAACCACTTCACCCCTTACTTACCATTACTACCTGGAGCTTTCCATTCTTACACATCATGCAGTTTACAATGATGCAGATGTAACATAGGAATCTATAGTAATAATTGATACAATTGGTTCATGGTTTTGAGAAAGAGGTAGAGAAGGACAGGCTTGTAATTTCATATGCTTTTTTTTCCAACTTAAATTACATCTGTTATCATTTTGTTACCTTTGGGTAGCTTGTTAAGCTAACATTAGCTGCATGAGTTGGACTTTTTAATGTTCTAGCTAACCCGTATTAAAAGGAGGGCTCTTTAAAAGGAGTCTTAAATATACGCTTGGTGGCTATATACATGATATCATGCTAAAAGACTGAGGCTGTGGAAGTGGAAGTGAAACCACCATACTGATATTGAGAGGTGTTTTTGATATTTAATCTACCCATAATTATTTAAAGGGGATCGGCCACATATTGTTAAATACTGATTGATCTGATGATTACCTGTTCAAATAATCTGTCAATTCTGGTCTAATTGTAATCCCTTTGAATTAAGGCAGATGTATTTCTAATTTCATAGAAGAAAAACTGATTGCGTCTCTTTTTTTGACGTTACTATCGTCAAGACCTTGGCAGAAAACCATAAAGGGTATAGTCAGTGTATTTCACAGGAAGTGCCAGAGCTTCACATTAACTTTGTTTTTAATTATTTGTAAGATTTGTATTTATACTTTGGAAACCCAATATGATTGGCATGGTTTATTTTCATCCAGACCCCTCAGAGACCTCACAGGAGTTAATGAGACGCATTAGTGTTTATCAGGAGGAATGAGTCTACCAAAAATAAATTAAACTAAAGAATTACAACCTATTTCTTCCCCAGTTTCAGCTCTGTTAAAGCTACAGATGGGACTCCAGATGAGGTCGATGAAGACGTGGAGTTCAAGGCTCCAACTGAAATATAGGAGGAAGCAGTAAAGAGGAAAGTGGATGAGAAGAGGGACGAGCTTATTGTTACTTCCTTAGTAGTCCAGGCAGTGTGTCAGACACTGGCCAACCAGGAATTGTCCTCCAGGTCAGTCCACGACTACAATCACATTTTCTAAGTTCTTACTCAAAACCACAAGAATTTCAATAGGTATTGAAATTCAGTATTTTTTTGTACCAACATGAAATGTGGCCTTACCAGTATGAAAAGCTGACATTGAATGCCTGATTAGATGTGTTCATTTATTATTTGTTAATCTTTCCAGTTATAGACATTTTTTTTTGTCTCTAGGAAAAAGTTTTAGGAAACCATTTGTATGTTCCTCAATAAGGTATTATATGTGTACAGGTTCGGTAGTGATAGCAACAGATACAGCGCTATTATTGAAACATTTTAAATAACCTTCAACCCTAAAACAGTTACAAGAGTAATAAAAATAAGTCAAACTCATCTATTTCTTTAACTTTTTTTTACCTTACCATTTTAATCTCTTATTTTCATAAAAAACCTTCTAGGTACATATGTTGATAATTAGCATCCACTTTAAACACAACGATTTGCATCAAATAGCTGTCTTTGTTTACTGTATCTGTCCTTATTAAATAAACCATAAATAAATAATAATTTCCAAAATCACAGGGGGTATGGGGCAAAAATGCCAATGGTTTGTTGTTGCAGTACTGCAATTGGCACAAATATGCAACATAGGTGACTGCCCATGGTCAGTACACTAGAATATATGAGCCACACTCATATGACTCACTGTCATGTTTATTGACTATGTGTCTATGTGTTTCTCTCTTTCTATAGTACCAAAACACATCAAGTCATTTTTCTCTACAAATTCCATATAGAAGCATCTTCCTTAAAAAGAAAAGATTTTAGAATTTGTTTTAAAAATGTTGCTCCTTCGGATTCTAATGGGTTAGTTTAGTTTTTTATTATTATTGCTAACGAATAATACAAAATGAGCTCCCGTTTGAGTGTCTGATGGTGATGTGCGTTTTGATGTGTTGTGTTTGTGTGTCAGGTTTCCAAAAGCAGAAGCAATCTGTTATATAAACCCTAGCCTCCTGAGCCCGCTCACAGTGATGGACTTCATCAGACATGTGAGCTGCCAAGAGGAGATGTGGAGTTCAGTGCCTGAGGCTGAACTTATCAGGTACATCAGCCAAACACATACACACACATTAAAACACACACACAGTCACTGTCCAAACTTAAGTAGCACTTTTTCTTCACAGACATTGTGAGATGTCACTTCTCTGTCTTCGCCATAAACTCCAGGCCCTCTCTTTGTTCAAAAGGGCCCTCTCTGTCCAGGCACCAAAGTTTCCAGATCACAGCCAGAGAGTGATGCAGCTGATTATTGTTGTTTCACCTCATGCTGATAATTTCTCCTCTGTCTATCAAACCGTCGCTGTTGGTTCCTGACAACCACCCTAGATCAGTTTAAGAGTTTGTCCCCGCTGCTCCAGGAAGCCGCTGCCAGTGTGGGAAGAAGCTACAGGTGTCACATGAAAGGCCGCAGGTGCCTGGAGTTCAGGATGCAAAACACCAGGACCTGCAAGAGATAAAACCGCACAGAAAAACACAGAGCAGGAGAAAAATCCCACAGCTGACCACAGTTATAGTTTCCTCACACAATACATCATTACTTTTACACCATACTGTTTACACCAACAGCAGAACACCTTCCTCCCATTTCCTGTCTCCATTACTTTAACCTCTGGTTGCATAACTACAAAATACTAGTAACAATTGAATTGTTTAATTGAATTTGACAACCTCTTCATATTATCCCTGTTTATTTTTAATGGCTCAGTGAGAAGTAAGAAAAAAACAAACATAAACAAAACATATTTATCCCTTATTTTAATTTGTTATATGAGCTGATGTTTTGTGATATCTGCCTGAAACATCTGTTGCCACTTCAACAGATTGTGTTTTGTATATTTTTTCCTAAATTTAATTAAAATTAATTAAAATAAGCTCTTCACATGTACTTAGCTGTAGTTTGACCTACTGTAGTTGGTTTGTTATGTCACTGAGATGTGGAATTCATCAGGTCCATTTGTGCCTTTGTCATGACCTTTACAGGCAGCTGTATTTTTATACACATTGTTGCTTTATTATGCAGGGAAGAAGCCAGGTCTACCAGAGAGGAGGACTTCATAAGACCATCATCACACATGCACACACACTTCAGTCACAAACACACACTGTCTGTGTTTGTATGTTGTGGTGCTAACCTGTACAGTATATAATGGCCACCATGCTGTCTCTGTGCTGTTGTTCAGGAGACAGAATGGTGTGACTGTGGTGCCAGCAGTCCACCTTTGTGACCCTGCCCAGGTGAGTGACATCAGATCCAAAATCCAACTGTCCACTGACCTTGAAGGACTACAGAAGTCAGTGTTTACTCCTTAACAGCACAATTCCAGACATCAGTTCCCTACCATTTCCACACAGTGTGAAAGTCTATTTGCAACTCTGCCAACTTGCTTACTCTGTGTTTTTCACCACAGTAAAAACCATGGTTGTGCAATATACCACATAAAAATAATGTAATTTTCTGACATTCCGCTAATTTCAACAAGTGCTGAGACGTGTTGTCAATATATTGATAGGCCCAAATAATTTATTAACAATCAATTAACAAAAAGAGCAATAATTATCTGGAACCATCTTATATGAGTGCTGACGTTGCATCTGAAGAGTTTTCTGTCATGTTTACAGTCAACTCTACAGTAATATTATCTTTGCGTTCAACCTTAGTGATCACCTTTAGTGTCTTAGCATTTTTGATCATCTTAATAATTACCTCATTGTCTAGGCAGTCAGTTAGCCTAGCTGGTTACCACTAGTTTTCTACAAAAAGGTGATCACTTTTGGAGGGAAAGGTAACGTTGCTGTAGAGTTGACGGGAAGTAAGATGTACATTCTATAAAACAGGAGACTGGGTTGGTGTGTGTGTGTGTGTGAGTGTGTAAGTGTGAGTGTAGGTAACTGTTGTTAACTGTGTTCCTTGACAGACCGAGTGTTGCTACGGTCGTCATTGCCATCAGTTAATTCAGGATCTGGGGGGAATGTAAGTAAGATAATCACACTAAAGTCAGATTGTTACCTTCTGTAGTTCTCTATCAGGTTCTCAGGTACATCAAACATACAAAACTGTGTCGGGGTGTCGTTCCTGCAGCTATTTCATAAACTCAAAGTCCATAATGCCACAAACAGCTTAGGGCAACCAACATAACATCAGTATTGATTGGTGATTTGTCAGTGTAAGTCAGGTAAGATTTATCAATAGAACACATTACTGACAGCAAAATTGTAGTATTGTGTTAGTGAATGAAGCTAAACTCAACATATATGAAAGATGTGTGTGCATGTGCCTCTGCTAACTAAAGGACTGCAATATTGTGGGTCATTGTAATGTACCAATGGTCCAATCTTGGAGCTGGAATGTGGAATTAAAAGCATGATGCTCAATGTGTCCTTTGTGTGGAGGAAGCCCTAACCTTACAGCTATCTTATATTTTTAATGAAGGAATGGCATTGTGATTTCCTTTCATTTGCTCTGGGATTTAATGATATTAAATTGACATTACTGTTTGGGGGACAGTTTGTGTTATGATACTACTGAACTGCTCTCTACAGATGGGAGAATGTTATAGAATGACAAAAAGTCCTTTGATCTCACATCTTCCTCTTTGTCTTTCCCCTGTTGGCTAGTGTACACAGCTTCACCACAGCATGACAAGCATTTTCTCAGATGCAGTTGTTTAGTCTCAACTGCACTTGTCGAGACTGATTTGTCTGGCCTCAGTCTAGAGAAAAGGGAAACATAAAGATGAGAAGACACATGTGAATGGTGCTGGCTTTGGACAAGCCATACTATAGTATACTACATATATTTGACAAGCCATACTTGTCCAATATATGTATAATATATTCTCTTCCTCAGGTCATAATATGAACTTGCAGCATGTCTGCACAATGAGAGCTCATCTGATCTGTGCATAATGATAATGCACTGTGCTGTGAAAACACCTCCTGAAACATTGATGTCTGCAAAAATTCCAAATGTACAGATCCATCAACCTTGTTCAGAGAGTCGAGTTAATGCTGCATAAAGGGTGAACATGAAGAGAAAGAGATAGGGTGGGGAGAGGAAACTCCAGACATGGTCGACTTTTTCTCCAACTATCCATCAATCATATGGTACTAGGCCATTAGACGAGGCGGCAAGCCACAACCACAAACTGTCAGCTTCCATAAAGGCCATCAACACAACTCATGCAAGATAAACAACAGAAAGAGCAGAAAGGGAAGCGACAAAGCGAAGACAGCTAGGGAGGGTCTTGACGGCCAAGCTGGTTGACAGTACAAGTGGTCAGCTAGAGTGTCTATAAACGATCAGCTGTGTATACCACTGCTGATGCAACATGAAGATCATTTTCTTTATCTAAAGGATTCTTTTTGACTGGCTTTTCAAGCTTGGCATGGATTTCAAGAAACAGATGGTGCCTGTCTGTAGATGCATCCTGGCTATGCAATCCAACTGCAGATTGTAGTTTTAGTTATACAAACATCTCTAGGAGGCGGAACTGCTCAAGAGTTAGAAACAATCTCATTGTTTGAGCTAAACTCAGAGAGCCAAAGAACCACCTCAATATAAGCTTATTTAGCTAACCTAACGGATTTATCAACCGATGGTTAAAAGAAAGTTATAATGTTAGCTTCCTTACGGCATCTACGCTAACCCCTTTAGCAACCGCCATTGTTGTTATTGGACCACGCCTGTAGCTTACGTCATAGCTGTCAGTAGTTCTTCATAGGACTCTGACTGGTCTGAACAAATGGCAAGATGGATTTTCGAATCTCTCTAAAGTCCAGCTGCCTAGTAAGTCCACCTTGGATGGGTGCTGGATCACAAAACATATTCTATGAACCACATCAATTTCCCCCTGTAAGATAATATTTATTTTGTGACAATCCATCTGGCCGTAATTCACAGAAAAGGTCTAATATCAGACTCTGCATTTAGACTTTTAGGGGCCCAATGTGTGTATCTAAAAGAGTTCACGTTATTTTATTCAAATAGTCAGTAACCATAAACATTAAAACAACATTGGAAAAACGGTCTTCTTTTAGCCATCAACGACAGTTTTTCCAAACTGAGTATGGATATTTCTTGGGCAGCTTCAGCTAGTACATCCATGTTAAAGTTTAACCTATAACACTGAAAGGGCCCACATTTTATCTTCTTTTGATTGCTTAGACTTCTCAGAACTGTGTGGGTGTGTACAGACTATGCTTGATTGACATCTCTCTCACCCGCATATTACTCATTTTGCACCTGTTAGGGCGAGCTGACTTTAACATTTATCATTATTTTCGGTTCATGGAGTCTGATAACTGTAGTAGAAACCCAAGAATAGCTCCGCCCAGCTTCAACCTGAGCAGAGGTCTAATTAGCCTGAGAAAGTAATAATACCTGTGAGGGTGTGCAATATCTTTTTTAACAGGAAACACATTAGGAAAAGCACAGGTGTAAATATGTAAAAGGAATAATGGCTGAATTCCATTTTGCTGCTTCAGTTTCAGTGTTTGGTATAGAACTTTTTCACAGCCGTGATTTTTACATGAAAGAGAAGGGTAAACACAGGTGTTACCTATGACACTATATGGTTCTGTTCCATTTAGTGTAGGGTCTTTCCAGTGAGCATGCACAACAACAACATGCACAATAGAAGCACCCTGACTCTGTTTGCCCTTAATGGAACAGAACCTTTTAGTATCATGGTAACACCTACTCCCCTAGTTAATGTCAAAATGACTGCTGTGAAAAGGGTCTGCTGGCTCACTGTCGTGACTTACTCAGACACTTCAATAGAACAGAGCCATTCCTAATGTTTTCCTATGACAAGTCAAGACCTCTATGAAAAAGATTTTTAGACAAAAAAGAATAACAATTGGCCACCCAACATGATTTAAAATCTTGCTTACATACAGTAGAACTACTCTGGCTCAAGAGTGCAATTCAGAGTAGTGACTGTGAAGTTAAGAGGTGCATGCATTGTGTGAAGACTTTCATCCAGTATGTTGCTGTTATCTTCCTGACCAGGCTATGCTACTTCTTTGTTTTGTCAGCATCGAACAACGACAGCTCTGATGAAGTTTACATTTATTTAGCCTTTATGGATGAGACTCATGGGTGCTCTAGTTGTTGAAAACTAACACCATATAGTCATAGTCAAACTGTACTGACCAGTCCAGTACACCTTTAGTTATGAATATGGACAGAAAACCACAGTATCATGTTCTATCTTTTAAGAAAGGTCATAAATTGACTGACATACTTTGGCTCTGTATACAGCAACCATGTCATTCTGGTGTTCAGGCACTGATGATGAACATTAAACCATAGGTTGAATCATCAGTTTGAAAGCTAATAGACTTAGTAGTTAATAGATTTGAAGTTACACTGGTACCAAACCATATGTAATTTTGCCTTCTCACCAATACTGGGGGTTAACAAAACTGTGTTATTTGTACTGACATGTACTGCTAATCAGGATTAAAGATCCTATCCAGACATTTATTAAAACATATATTTATATACAAATAGTCTGCTTGGAACAATAATGTGTATCTGAAAGTATAATTTTCACATTAAAATCCCTAAAAAGGCAACTACTCCTTCTACCTCAAGTAAAACTTTCTGAATCTATGAATATGCAATTTATTTCATGTCTAAGGTTTAACTGCTCGACAGAAGATGCCTCCATCTTCACTGTAATGTCCATTCTCAGCGTATGTGTGCTGGAGGCCTCATGTTTCCACATCCCACTTTTGCAAAGTTGCATACTGTACCAGGATTGACTTCAAAACTGTTCAAATCAGATTTTCACTGAGCACAGAGAAACTTTCCACTTTCGGCAGATTAAAGTGAAAACATCCTTCTTGTGTCAATCTCTGCACATGCATCATTCTGCACAGTGAAGCTCAAACATCCAACTCTAGGAACTAGAAGATAAACACATTTTTGAGTGGAGCGGAACTTTAAAAAGGTATGGATAAATACTCTGTGGACTACTATGGTACCAAACCATTGAAAAAGTCATAATTTAGAATAAAACTACTGTAAGAACAACTACATTCATGGGTCACACATTAAGGTCATAACGTTCTCACAGTGAAGAAGGTCCCCTGATCACCAGAGATCTTGGGAAGTCTCCCTTTAGCAATTGCTTGCTTTAATTCATTAATTACTGTCTGTTTGCTTGTCAAAATAATATAAAGCTATCTCTGTCTCCGTCCATTACATTCAAAAATAACCAAACTCAAACCAAACATGGAGCTATAAATGACCTAAAGCAAACTCCAACCTGATAGTATATTGGGACCTGTCTAGCTTCAGTTGTGTTTGTAAGAAAAAACGCTCTGGCCATGCATTGTTTCTGTCACTAGAGCTATTGTGACTCTAATGTTTGTATAGCCATGACAACTTCAAACTGCCCAGGTAGGTAATTAGGTAAATTACTCAAAGAAGGAACAAGGCACTCTTTCTTGCCTATTGTAGCTTTTCTTTCCTTTCCTTTCTTTTTCTTTTTTTTTTTTTTACTTAAGTCTGATAAGACTGCACACATATGACATCATCACTGATGTTTGATAGCAAGTTACACAATTGATCTGGAGCTCAGCAGGCAATTATGAGTGCAGAACCACGGTGCATATCAATGAGCCCAGGCAAAGAAAAGGAAAGTAAAAATATGTTCCTGCGGCACATTGCTAATAGTCCCAATTGCAAGAACCTGGGAGCTCTGCAGGAGGATATTTCTAGATCACTGTTGTATTTGATTTCCCCCACTGATCAGAAAAAAACGATTTCTGACCCTTCACAAAGGCATGATAAAAAACCTGCAGTATAATGGATTACTTCCTCTCCAATGTTACTTCACCTCCAAAATCCTGCTGCTCTGTCTCTCTTTCTCTCCTGATGTTCTCTCTCCCTCCCTCGGCTCTCTTTCTCTCTCCCATTCAGAGCTGAACAAATACCCCATGTCTTTACAGGTACGACAGACACAAAACCAATGTTGAAGACAGACATAACCGCCAACATTATTGGCGTGCTGTTGCCTCCAACAAGGAGACGACAACAATGACGCTATTCAGTAACCTTGCTGGGAAGTTGGTCGCTACTGCTTGTTGATAGGCAACTCTCTCTCTCCTTCCCTTTCTGCCTGTCGACTCAGAAAAGGCAATTAATATTCTTTTGCTGAGTAGAGGCTTTAGTTTTAGGCTGATCACGTGGAGCACACTGGCTGCCACCTCCCCTCTCTTACAAGTCAGATAATTACCTATTTAGATGTTGCTGAGGAGATATGTGTGTGTGTGTGTGTGTGTGTGTGTGTGTGTGTGTGTGTGTGTGTGTGTGTGTGTGTGTGTGTGTGTGTGTTCATGCGCGTGTGTTGGCCTGCTGCCACAGCTTGTGAAAAGAAGAACCATGAAGTGGATCTGTCACTATGAGTTAGAGACACAGGATGGCTGCCCACCAAGAAAAAAGCAGAGGACACTAAACTGAACTATCAAAGCCACAGAAACAGACTGCGTACATTCATGCTCTGCTAACAGATTCCCACTCTGACATCAGATTTTTTTATATTGTGGTTGCTGTTTTTTAGTTTCTACACACAGCAGCCCACAAATTGCATTAGGGTCTAAGGTAATTACAGTGGATCTAATCGAAAGCTGTCATATTTCTGCGGTTAATGGGCTCCGTGCGGAGGCTGTTGAGGTCAAGGGCTTTCTGAAAGGTCAGCAGACTCACCACTGCTGCTTACCCCCTTCAGCTCTACCTACCCACACCTCTTAAATCTCAATCAGGGATGGGAAGCGTGGCCATTCATTAGCTTGGTATCCAGCGGCTGTCTCTTTCATCTCACACCTCACGTGCCCACCACCATGCAACTGCCACCCCTTTTTTTCCCAATCCTTCTCCTTCCTCAGTTGAAACGCTTTCTGTGGACCCCCAGAGGTACACGGGGTGAAACTGCTAGGAAAGTGCAATTGAACCCCTCCAGCTCACACACACACACACACACACACACACACCATCCTGCCTGCCTCTCCCCTGGTGCCTACATATCTCCCTCCTCCATGCTGAAACCATCACGATCCTTCGATGTCTCCCGGCTCTGCTCCTCTCTCTGTTTTTTCTCCTCTACTGCCAATCAGCGGAGCATTTCTCACAGAACTTCTTGTGGCGGGAAAGAATGACAGCGAGTGGGAATGTGTGTGTGCGTGCTTGGGAGTGTGAGCACGCGCATGTGGGCAACAAAGCCTTGTGCTAAGCTGAGGGCGGCTCCAAGGTCCCCCCCTGAGGCAGAGCTGAGATTGAGTTCATTATTCAGTAGGAGTTGGTTCCAGCTGTGAGAGGAGAGAGATGGCGAGCTGCTCTGTCTGTGTTGCGACTCTTCCAACCCTACTGTCCACTGGGAATCAGCACAAAATATTGCAAAGGACAAAGACTTTAACTGTCACACATATGTGGACAGGCAGCATTTGGGCTTGTTTTTGCCTAATAGTGAAGGCTGGTTTACACATGGAAGATTTTATTTTTAACATTATTTGTCCTTTTTGAGTTTTAATTTCTTAGTTTCATTGTAATATAGAGTATATAGTGCCCCCGGTGTGACTGTGATGTACACATGAAGCAGCACTTAACTAGAATTCTTATGTATCCCTAGATGGCAGTAGTAAGTCAGTGTATTGCCCGCCACAGAGAAGAATGTCTTTGAATGTGTGTGTCTTCTTGTTTGCTTTCCCTTGAGGTTGATAAAGTGTGTCGGCATAATTTTAAAAAATAAATTTAAACAACAAGTAATAATAAAAGTAAATAAAAAAAAGATACAGTATTTTCAAAATAGTCTTGGTGGCCTGCTGTTCCTCACTTACAGGACCGAGGTTTCTCCTTCACTCATGAATAAATACAGATTGCAGAAGCTTTTTTTTGTTTTTACACAAAGGCAATTAACTTGAAATTGCTTTGTTGAAATTGCTCCTCAAACAGCTTAGTACAAGCACAGGAAATGGCATCACAGCTATTCTGTATTTGTGAGAATTTAATTATGATGTTCATCTCCTCTGAGATGTGTATGAAATTGCATTGAGCAACAATCAACTATAACGTATGTATTATAACACATGTTTGTTTCCATTGACACCGACTGTTGAAGACAAGCAAGTGATATCCAGCCAAAAAAAACAAACATCCCCATTTGGTACAGGAAACACAAAACCACCCCATTGTTTTATTTATGGACAACTGATGTGCATGAAGACTCTTAAATCAATCTGATGGCAGTATATCCGCTGGAAAACACTCACATGAAACAGCTCTACCCTCACATTACCCCGACAAAGTGCAACAAAGGTGTAGTTTACATCCGCCTTTTCAAAAAATGCAAGTCATTTTCAGCATGATGAGAGTGCAGTGATTCATGCAGCAAATGGCTTGTCATCCCACTGCTTGATTAACAAGCACTGAGACCCTGGGGAACACCCGTGGATCCTCATCACTTTATGGCCCTGGCAGAGGACTGCGCTCGTCCTCCACAGCAAGACAGAACCAAACTCCATTCAATGCATTTCCTGCTTTTCCGACTAATAACTGTCAAAAGAAACAAAACACACATCAGACCAGATTTGCCAGCCGAACTTTGCTCATTCCTCATTTTATAAAATTGCTTTTGACTTCTGAGGGGAATCTTGTGGTAACCCAGCTGGGAAGAATGCTGAGGCTATAAGCTGAGGCAAGAACCACAGCGGCGGAGTTATTAGCCTGATAATGAGCCCGCAACTATGACAGGGTCAAGCAGGGTCAATAGCTGCTGCTAATTTTGGACGATGGCATGGCAATGCAAAGCAAGAGTAGGTAAGTGCAGCCGAATGCAGTCCGAGAGATGGAAAGGAGAGTGGCAGTGCCATCACTTACGTCAGTCAGAGAGAGGATCTCCAAGGGCACGGTGCTAGAAACCGACCCACAGAGTATCACCTTAAACAGATGTACGACCCTGAGGTTATGTGGGGTGTGCACTGTGTAGCTGCGTGTCAGTGTGTACCCATGACAGGCCCCATCCAGTCCTGTATGTCATGACCTGTACTGCAAGTGAGTGACACACAATGCATGAGTGGCTATTAGGCTGCCCCAGCCCTATGCCATTCAGTAGTACGACTGCCACTAGCTCTTGATTCCCTCTGACACATCTGCACTGAAGCCGAGCCTGCTGGCTCATACTGAGCATTACTCTTATTGACAGGTGCATGCCTTCTTTGTGCACGGCAACACTCAAATTTACCAAAAGGGTGTTAAATTTAAGCTGGTGTGGTTGCGGATAGGTCACTGAGTTTTGCTAATTAAGGGTAAAGGTGAAAAGAAGAAGCAGATAAGTACACTATATTAACACTAACACAGCTCTAGTGCTATTGCATATGAATCATTCTGAACATAAGTGCACTTTTTAACGGTCAGAAAAAGCTGGTGTGGTTCAATCAAATTGTGGCCACTATGATTGCGATGGAAAAATCCAGTCTGCTCTCAGCATTCGAGGGGAAAAAATGAAAGCCTCATGAAATTATTCATCTGTTTTTTTGTTTTTTTCAGGAGCAGAAAACCTGGCAGCGAGAAATAGCAGAGACTCAATGTGAAATGTCCTTGAAGACTTTGACTTCCTCATTCTTTGTGACAACTCAATAATAAAACACGACAGATCGTTCCGCATGAGAGTTTGGCATGTTGCCATCTCGTCTAAGATATATATTTTTTGTCACCTTAAACAATGTTTCGCTTAATGAATTTATGTCGGTGTGACAGGACATGGCTGCTTATATCTGAGTAGCACTAAGCTTAGTTCATCAGTGCATAATGAATATGTGTTAGGGTATCATATTCATTTAGTATACACATTTAAAGAGGGTCTGTGAATTGAACTAAGTTTACATCGATGTAGCTCTCAGTTTCTGCCTTCCATTAGGTCAAGAGATAGTTATTAGAAACTATGCTTAGTGACTTCATTAGAGCCAGTTTTCACCTATTAGTATTAGATCTATTACTTGCTAAACCTATTCTTATCGCTTAAAGCACTTCACAACATGTAGTAAATTAATGAAGATAACAAACCATTCTAAAGGTTTAGAGAGAGCTTGTCGAGGGATTTTAGCTGGACTGTAGTATCCTGTGGCCCAGTCGTGGGCAGTCTGCTGTGTGGGCAGTCTTCACTACGCTGCACATTGCCATTTACTCACCTTTTACTTCTGAGATACTCGACCAGTACAGGAGAAAACACAAAAAGATGATCTTATTCTTGTCTTTGCTACAGTTGATTGCTGGTGTTAACACAGATGGACCATACAAGTACTTTTTTTGGATTAACTAAGACCTAATTTCAGATAGATATGAAAAGTACAGTGTAGAAATTTCATGGTGTGTTCTTAAGCTCTAACAAACACAAGAAAAAGCAGATGGCAGATTCTCAGCTCAAGGTCCATTTAGTGACTGTTCTGGAGTTTTCTATCAAATAACCTTCATGACCAGATGAGGTTTATTCAAAATGTGTCTTTACTAGCTGTTCCAGATCTCAATCTCCATTTGTTAATGAAGATCCTGTGAAGACTTCCAGGAATGTCAAATGGACCTTGAGGTGAGATTGTTTGGTCTGAATGCTTTCAAGCTCATGAATACACTTTGAAACTCAATTTGAAAAGCTTTATTTACATTTATTTGCTAAATTCCTCTGTGGTTTTACTTGAGAGACAGTCTTTTAAAATGTATTGTGCATTGTAACTACCTACAGAATACTGCAGTGAAAGAATATGTCATCCTCTAGTAAACACAATTCCATTTTGACTTCAGTTTTGTCCAAAAAGATACTCACCAATCTGTGCCCACTTCATTCAATGCTCTCCCTTCTTCTTGTACCACTGCTGCACAATGCTATGACATCCTGCTCTTCAGAAGTTCTCCCATACTCAGCTCAGATGTACAATCCACACCAATCTATGGAAAACATCCGGCAACAGCTTTCTCTTATGCTGGCCAGTGTACTGGCAGACACTGGCACTGGCACTGTCAGTGGCAAGTTGACTAGCCATGAAGACCAATCCACAGTGCATAGGCATTTTATCCCTGAACTACAATGACATTGTGACAATCCAAGAGCTTTTCATTTCATGGCTGTGGAATTTCACATAAGACACTAAAACTGTAAATTGCACAGGTAAAAGGAGACTAAATAAAATCTGTCTTTTAAAGAAAACAATGCTCATTCTAGTAAAATATACAATGCAGGGACTGCAACACCACTAGTGGTCAAAGGCAGTAAACCTTACAACAAAATGAAATAATGCAAGAAAACACATTTTAGGTAGGTGAACCTCTTATAAAATAGCTCTGTAGATGTTGTTGCTAAAGAAAAGTAAAGTAAGAAAAGTAGCAAATTTCTTGCAAAAACACTTTTAATTACTGATTACTTTCTCTGTTAATAAGAACTATTATAAATTATCATTATTATGATAGCGAATAAACTTGACAGAAATAGCGCACTTCTATACAAATGTTAGGCCTATTATAAATTCAGTCGGAAAGATCAGAATTAAAAAATGTAGAATGACAGAATTTAAACAGACAGTCTTGATTAAAAGTTGAAGTCCTCACTGTTTCCACCAAACAGATACAAGGGGGGGATGAAGTCACAGAGCAGCTTACTAACCTTAACATCAAGACTATGTCTCACTAAAATACCATCGGGTCTAACAGCCCCGAAATACATTTTTAAAGATTCAATTATTTAATATTTTGGACCGTCAGTAACTCTTAATTCAAATATGTGATAATTTTACCTCTTTGCCTCTGAGACCCTCGTGAGCCATTGAACTTAAAAATAGATTAAAATGGGTTTTGCTTTTTTGGAACTCTTGACCTGCAGAAGCATTATTAAGAAACATTTTGCACATGTGCTTAATACATACTTCCTGCAAAGTTCTCATTGCCTGCTCATTCTTTGTTACTTGTCAGTTAAAAAACAAAAGAGAACAGAACAAAGTAGACTGCAGTGCTTCACCTAGGGAGGTTTATCACAGCATCCACTGAGTAAGAAGGCTTTCAAGTTAATTTTTCTTGCTCTGCTTCCATCATTCTGCTTCCTCCTGTCAAAAATAATCACACTAACAAAGGCGGCAACATGCAGTAAGTGAATGACATTAAGCTCAGCAGCCTATCAATTATCCTTCAGATAGCCCTATTTAAGGTCACACAGTCATCTACTGAGTTTCCATGGAATTGTAACAAAGTGGGCCTCGTTTCATGAACTTCTACTGCAATAAGCCATAGCACTGTTAAAACACAACAACAGCATCTTGCACGGATCAATTGAGCTTCATAGTGTAGTATTTAGGAGGACTGTCCTGAATTATTATCATGCAGTCAGGTGTTAAATGTTTTTTTCAGGTCTATGCTAAATAATACAATACTTCATTGTTCTCTGTGTGGTCCAATGGGTGACAGTTTGGAGTGTCCTTGATTGTGACTGTAAACAAGTCCAACAGCTCAGCAGTCACATTTGCACACTTTGCTATTTTATAAGATTTGCAGGCTACAAGCCAGTTCTGTAAGGATGCAGGGTTTAGTAGGAGTGTGACTACTGAACTCTGTGCTCATTGGAGAATATGGTGAGAGAAATTACTCATGCCTCATCCTACATTCTCTGACTTTTTCCTCATTTTTTTTTTTTTTTTTTTTTTTTTTTTGAGGACCCCCCTCTGACACCCACTCCGCTGACTGTAGGCTACAGCTAACCAGTATGATGAATTTCAGGCGAGCTGCGCCGCCTTGACGGCATTTAATCATTGAGGAAAAGCCAGGAAACGTACTCATTCTTTACCCTCCTACACTCCCACCCCGCCTTCCCTCCGTCCCTCTGCCTCTGACTCTCATCTCTCCTGCCGTCTCCGGTGTGCGTCTGCTTGCTGTACAGAGCGGCGGTGTGCATGTGTCGCGGAGCGGGGGGAGCGCTGCACTGTTCTGCGCACTGGTTCACCGAATAACGGCGCTCGACAAGCGGGTGGTGGTGGAGGGGGAGAGTGGACCCGGACCAGGAGCAGGACCAGGAGAAGCACCGTGGCTCTTTATAGCCCGCTCTCCGACAACATGTCCGAGTTTTTTATACTCGCCTTTCTAGCCCTATTCTCGGGATTATTTCCGTGCGCCGAGCCCTCGATAGTGTCGGACGAGGATAAAGGTAAGGAAGAACCCGGGCCGTCGGGGATGCGCAGTCCGATCAAACTTGGCACCACAGGCCGTCTTAGTGCGGTCAAATGTTGTGCAGTTGCTGAATGTTTGCTTTAAAAGCCACAATTCATGAATGATAAAGAGTTGATCATCTGAAATTGCTCGTCAATCTTTTTTTTTTTTTTTTTTGTCCAGTGTGGGATGCCACGCTGGAAGTCTGCATCTTTTAGTGTTCTTACCATCCAGGATGTTAAAATGTTGCATTGGAATATGTCCCAGCTGATAAACCACAAATAACGATACCACCTTGAACTTGCCCTGCGCATTTAGCAGAGCTTTTGCATTTTCAGGAACATTCTTGAGGCTGTTGGGAGCCACATTAGATTCAGCGGGTCTGACTGCAGGCGCGTAGCAGCGCTGTCCTACAGTGCAGCAGGTGAAAATACCCCTGTGCCAAAGTGTATTTTGTATCTCCCCGAGCTGTAACCTGTATTTGTACCGTGAGATCATCTCAACATCGGATGAAGACGCAGTTGATAGTACTAGTTCTGCACGGTCAACTCTAGATAGTGCGGTATCTCATAGCCTTTGTCGCGGAACTCATTATTTATAGCAGAGATGTTGACTGTTGCATGTGTGAAAATGACAGACTGGTTCATTTGAAGTCTGTCACCTTATGATACCATTAATGTGTCCATGGTGAGTGTTGTATTAAAGGGGTTTTCACTATCATCTTCCTTGGGCTCATGTGGCATGTAAGGACCATTGATGGTAAAGCCAGCCAGACTCACATCACCTATTAGGCTATTTTATTTTCATTAAACAGCTATTTATTGAAGGCTACTTTTTGAAAGTATATCACAGATGCCAATCTCATGGATCCTCAAAGGAGAAAAAATCTAGTAGGCTACTTGATTACAACGGAAATGTGATTTTTTGCTTAAATAGTTATGCTTATACTTTAACTTTATTTGGTCCTGCCTATTAATTTTTCAGGGTGTCATTTGAGTAGAGACATGCTGAATTATGGGCGCTTGGAAAATTAGTATTAGAGTGATTGCTGTGGCGTGAAGCACATTTTAAAAACCAAAAAAGCATAAATTAATGTCGTGGAACTTAGTATAGCTGTTGATTTCTAGCATCAAAGTCACAGTTTCCTCACTTCATCTTTCTCCAGCATAGCAATGTGTGTCAAGACTGCTTGGCTTCATGTGAGACCGTCCCAAATGTTTCCAAATGCCCCCCAACACAGCGTGGAAAACAGGGACTTAGAGTTTGCTTGGCAATCACAGTAGGCAAGAAAAACACAGTTTACCTCTCTCTGTGCATGAAATGAAAAGATGAATTTGTCTCTTGAAGTCCCTGAGAATGCCCCTGCTCTGTGAGGGTGGGGAAAAAAAGAACACACCCACCTAAAAATTATTTAAAAGACTGTTGGAGTTTGTGTCTGTCAGCATTGCAGAGCTGAGCTCTATTAGTGTAGCTTGAATCAAAGTGAATAATGATGTGCCATTGGACTGTCTCATCTGGGGTAGTACAACAATATTTCAATTGAGCACAGTTAAGCTGAGATATATTCAGTCACACACACAGAGATCTGAAAGTATAGTTGGGACCTGCATCTTTGTCTGCAAACCGATGCCGTCCTTCTCCTCTGCATCACACCGAGAATAAATGAAAGCTCTCGTAGCTGTGTCTAAATGGACGGTAATGATAATAGCATTTCTTATTTCTTCCAACACCAAAGCTTGTTGTTAGCCTAATTAGTCAGAAATTAATTTGCTTTGTAATAGCAGCGTTGTTACGTTGAATGCCAAGCAGTAAGTCTGTGGTTTTCTGTACATGAATTTGAAGCATTTCCAGGGCTCATTTATACAGTTACAGTGTCTCTCTGAAGTGCCTCTACTATGTTCCATTCCTTATCACTTGTGTCCATCTAACATTGAGGAGTCTGACCTGACCGGGCCGGCATGGCAGCACACTGCTGATGCTGACAAAATGACGGGCTTGAGAAGTTTAGTCACACTGGTATACTGCCATACTGCCTGTTTATTATAATTGTTAAAAAATCAAAGTACCCTTGATCTTAGTCAGTGACCTCAGCGCGAGATAAGCATCATCTAGCACAAACAGCTCAAGGTTGTTTGAAATGTATACCCAATTTAAAAGATGATAGTATAGTGGAAGACACAGATAGGTCCATGCACTAATGCAGGGAAGGCTGTCTTTAAGAGCTAATTAAGTGAGATAGTGAGATAGCATCGCACTAGTGTATGTGTTTGCCTGGGTGTGTTAGTGTGTGCAAAGGTTCGCACAAGATCTAAATGAGGGAGAATTCATTTAGTGTCTGTGGGCAGTTTGTTGACCAGTAGTGATAACAGGAGTCTAGATTTTCTACATTTTAAACCCTTTAAAGTTGGCTTCCTTCACATTTACAAATAGAGTAACCACCTGTTTAGAATAGTGTGGTACAGTGTCAAGAAATTTCTTGATTAACCGACAATACTACGAATGACATACAGCACTTGGACTTAACCAAAACTATAGGATCATAGAATATAAATATAGTATGGAAAATTATGTTGTTTATTCAAGAAGCATTGATGTTATGCCCTGTTAAAATGTATTTTACCACTCAGTGGAATGGAAGAAGAGACACTAATTTGTTCATTGTGCAACCTGAATGATATAGAAAATGAGTTTCATTTTGTTTTCTATTATCTATTATTGTTCTATGTTACTGGGAACCAAACAATGAATTTGTTTATTATGATGAAAAAAAAAAAATCACATACAAAACATCTAAAGGGGAACTCCACTGACATTACACTTTAGTTGAGTTCAGTTGACTCGTGACAAGGAGCACAATTCAACCTGTAAAAATAGTTTTATAATGCCTTCAGTGGCTCTGAAAGAGCTTTCTAAAGTCTGGGAAAATGACCCTGATGTCATCAGGATTACCTTGCTTGGGTCTGAGCCTTGAATTTTTTTCAGATAGCCTCAAGTTATTATGGCGATTGTGGGATTTGAACTTGACCCATATAGATATTTCAGTCTATGCTGCTTCGATTTTGACCATTCTTTATAAAAATCTGTCTCTTGTGAGTCCTCTAACTTTATGGAAGTGCAACACTACTGGAGTGCCACTTAGAGTCAGCCAGTTACTTGGAAAAGAGCCTTGGAGAGGAAGAAAGAAGCCTCGGGATAATCTTTCGGCTGTAGCATTTATACAGCACACATAATGTTATAATTGATGTTTTTCTTTTGGTGTCTTATAAATGTTTGATTTTTTTATCTATAGGGGTGTCTAACTAATATTACAACTACAAATACTACAACTTTTAATAATAGTAATGTAAAAGCGTTAATAAATATTTGTCATGTGTCATGACAGTGTCACTTATCTAAGTCCTTAAATTTTGGAGTTAAAATTCTCCTTATTCCATTGAATCACTATGTAATCAAAGCCAGACTGCTGATGTTACAGCGAGGAACACCATGCAACAATTCAGAGATTTGGGCATTAATAATCCCTGACATGTGCACAATGACTATCTATAACTCTGCTTCCTTGGTGCTGCTGAGTTAAATAAATGTTCACTCTACTTAATGTCACCATTGTATCCTTACTCATTTAATAGATAGCTTGGAAGCAGGAAATTGGTCACTAAATTACAGCTGGACATGATAAATTGCAACCAAATAGAGATTATGTAAATCACATGCCTTTAGCAACACTACACCGAAAATCCATACAGTTTTTGATCGTCCTGAGGCCTTGACATTGACATTCAGTTGGTGTTACATGAAGATCAGGATGTCGTTTTTACTGGAGAACTCCAGGGTAGTGACTAACGGTTGACCTTCAAAGGTTGGACTGAATTCTATTTTCATAGCTGTTTTACGTCTTATTCTGGAAGGCATTCACACAAAATGAGCCCGCCAGCTGCGAGGCCTCCTTTGTAGCTCGATTTTCTGTCCGCATCCTGTTCTGACACGGCAGCAAAAGTGTCTACCTCAGCAATAGGTGATCCTCAGGATGGAAAGTGGCCCACACTCACCCGGCTACTCTGTCTTCACCCAGTGATTGGAGAAACCACATGCAGTTTCCAGTTAAAGCTGGTTTGGAAAAAGTAAATAAAGCAAAGGCAGAGGACTGGATGAAGGAGAGAGTGGTCTGAACAGGAGGTGATACACTAGTCAGCACTGTGTTTCTTCTTAGTAAAAGTCAGCAAAGGGAAACTTGTGGAGTGGGCGCTGACCGGTGTTGTTATTGGCATTCAGGTCCTGTGTTCTGTACTTCAGGTGCTTTTTATTGACTATTACTTCACAAGTTTGTCTTGGCTGGAAAACCAGACGAGTCCTCAAAACAGCCTGTCAGCTGGTAACATGGTCAGCTTCAGTTTGTACATGAGCAGATTAAGCACTTCTATCAAACCTCAATGTTTAATTTCGTTTTTTTTCCCCCCCAAAAGCACTTCTGACATCGTACTAGTCATTACTGGTTTTCTGAGGTTTGTCTGAGCTAAGTGCTTAGACAGCATTTTTTGCAGGGTTGCATTCAGTCTTTTACAAGCTATGAAAAGACATTAAAACAGCTGACACATCTATCCGATGATGTCAGCTAAGTGTTGCTGTCATTGAGCTCTTACATCTATCTCAGGGCAGAGGTGAAGTACGGCCTCAAGCTACAGGAGGCAGCTGTGAACCAGCCCCCACATGTCTCATTAAAGTGTACGGTTTGATGGTGGGGCTGGGCTCACTCCTGTAGAACAAAGTTATTGAAGTAATTTTGCCAGTGTCACCTTTAATATCATCTCTCACAGTCGTAATGGGTTACAATTGAATCAGTAATGGATTGGATCGGGTTGTGAAAGCCATTGGCTGTAAATTGACTTTTTGCATTGATTATCAATAGAAGGAGGAGCTCCATTTTTGACCCATATGATCTGTTTGTGTTGATGTTCTGGACAGACTTAATTATGTGGGTGACTTAATTATGTAGGTTTT